CGTTCATTATTTGTATGGCCACTCTCCCAATTCATTACTCCTCAGCGTCAATCGTTATCTCTTCTTTTGATGTACTTTGAAATTTGAATTCATTGACTTCTGTGTGCTTACTTAAAGCCATTTTTTCTCCATAAAAAGAACCCAATGCTTAATTAGTTTTAAAGTCGTAGAGGAGTGCACTGTGTATATTGATGAATAATTATTAATTACTCACTTTGTGTTAAATTATAAGATACTTTTAAATAAAATTTACATACCAATAAATTTCATTAAATACACTTAATAACATTATTTTTTAAAATAAAAATATAAAATTTTAAAAATATTTATAATTTAATATATTGAAAAAAGAAGAAATGAAAATTAATTATAGAAAGATAAAAGGTAATATTAAAATTAGTACATTTAATAAAACATTAATCTACATAAAATATCTTATATTTTAAAATAAAATTTTTTTTTAAAAGTGTCTTATAATTTAAGATGAGGGAGTAATTATTATAATTACCAATAAAAATTGAACTGGTCCATCAACCACTGCATGCAGTTGGACCCTACCAAAATTGAACTGGTCCATCACTGCTTAATTAAATATGCTTAATTAGTTTTAAAGTCGCAGAATAGTGCACTGTGTATATTGATGAATAATTATTAATTATTTAGAATAGTTACCAATAAAAATTGAACTGGTCCATCACTGCATGAGTTGGCTCGCTTTTATCAATTTGTGCAACATTTTTTAATCAAAATTAATTAATTATCCCTTGGAGATAATAAGATCGATTAAAACGTCATGTTATAAGGACTTACAATTTGGCTGTGATCGATGATATTATCTATAGAGATTGATGATAAAAACACAAAAATTTGTTTTATTTCGAATTTAGATTAATTAATTAATTGATTAGATAATTAACAAAAAGTCAAACTTGCATTCTGTTTGTACTTATCTGTTGTCTGTAGATTGATAAAAACATTATGACTGTTTGATTTGAAAATGTCAAACAAATGAACCATCATTTCCATGCAAAACATAATATATCCAGATAGAAAGTTATATTGTAATAAAAAATAATAATGTGACCTAAATCTGATCATATTTTATCTTGTACTTTTTTCTGATGAGCAAAGCACTGCATGTGAATTTTTTATCAATACAGATATTTAGATTTGTGGGTATTGATTTCCCATAATCATTTTAAAATATAAAGTAAATATAGGTTGATGTGCCCAGAGAAAAAAATTTAGCTAATATCACCATTAAAGAATTAAGTTCCAACATATTTGGAAGTGCAATTATTGAAACTTCTATGATTTAAAAAAATGTTTCTAGTGATGAATAAATTAAATTGTACTTTGGTGGAGCTTAGGAAACTTCTTCTAATTAATAACATATAGGTAGTTAAATAATAAAAAGAACACTATAGCTAGCTGCTATGAGACATTGGTTTTGATAATATCGTATGAGAGAAAAAAGGAATATTATTTTCCTTAAAAAATGAACTCAATTGGAACCATGAATTTCAAGAGTTGTTTACTACATTGTTGTTTAAGTTATCAATGAAAAGTGCTTTGCTTTGAATTTAATAACTAGGTTTTGCCTTTAAATTAACATGTATGGAAGATATGAATGTTAGCATGGAACTTAAAGAAATGAGTAGATTAATAAGAACAAAGAAAACACCATGATTGCATTTCAGACATATATATTGTTTATATATATATATATATATATATTTCTTATTATAGACACACACACATACACTCTATAGTGATAGTGTCACGATAATATTGCGTGTGATCTGCTTTTTTAGATCATTTGCCTTATAAAGAAAGATGGATTAAGCCACTTGAGATATAAAAAAGTGTGATTATTTTTTTTTTGAGATAATTATATTTTTACTTATTCTTTAATAGAAGCAATAGATTGCGAGAAAGATTTCGTCCCACATATTTATATTTCTTGTCCCTGCGCTGTCTTGTCAAAACAACATTACATGAGTATAAAATTTACGGGTTATTTATTATATACAATTATTATATTATTATATATCCAAGAATCTGGAAAAATTCTGCTTCATCAATCAATTAATCTTCTAAATGCTGAAGTCTTTGTTCCCTGCATCTTATAAATCTGTGCTCGCTGGTGAACCCTTTAATTTCTATCATAATTGTATTTTTCATCATTATTATTATGTAGCAACTAGACACATTTCCTCTTGCAATATTTTGCTATTTGGCAAATAACTCACATTACACCATTAATAATGAATAATAATTTTGTTTTAATAATGATTCAATAATAAAACTTCGTACTGCCATTAAAATGAAAATTTCACTTTAATTTCTCAAACTCTCTTTCCAATAAAAAATAAAAAAATTTTGTTTGCTCACATTCTCCTATAAGTGAGCCTGTCACGAGCTTCAAACTATTTGAAACAAAAAATTGCTTTGAGGATATTACCAGAAAAAATATTTCTTTGAGAATAAGAAATTGATATTTATTTTACCAAATAAAATAAATTGACATTTTTTAAATGAAATTTACAATAAAAATTATGAAAATAAACCTGAATCATTGAAATATAATTTAAAAGATCAAAATAAATAGTAACAATCAAATACAATGAATTTTTTTCCGGAAAAGCGTAGTTACTTTACACGCCTTAAACAATCAAACAACTATGAATATTTTTTCTTCTTAACCACTGAATTAATTAAAAAAGGATGATTAATAAAGCTGAATAAAAGGGAGGTAATTAAAAAAAAAACAAAATGAATGGTTCTGGGGTTTTCAAATGAATTATAACGATGGCCCATAATCGAAGGGCTATGGGCTTTTATTTTGGGCCGAAGGAGATAACGGTCCACCAGAAAGTCAAATTAAATGGTTACATTTGCATTGTCATTGATTCAATGGATAAACTCAAGAATTTGCATTGAATTATTATAATTGTGATTTTTTTTTTTGACCTTCAATTATTATAATTATGATAAGCATACAAGAAGATATTGACTTTTCCTCACACAAGTCATTTCACCTGACCGCGACAAATAATAATGTCCTTTGTGAATTTTATTTTATTCTCTTTAGGAAAAATTGCAAACACGGACCACTAAAGAACATTTATTGTTTTACAAGACCAAATAATTTTAAATTGTTCTGCAAAACCATGAAACTAAATATAATTAAAATTTATTATGAAAAGATAAAATTACACCTCATGCAAACCATTGTTGGTGGTTGTTGAAGCTCTAGGGTAAGCTATTAGACTATTGTCAATTAGTGGAACTCCAACGGACAAGTCTCCTTTTAAAAAAATATTTTTTTTTATTTTAATAAACAATCAATTCACTCATTAATAACTTTAGAAAATTAACTTGATAGTAACAAAAGATAAATATTATGATTTAGTAAACAAGTTACCATTTAAAAAAAAAAATCTCATTTTTATTTTAACAATAATCAATTCTCTTATCACAACACTTGTTTTTTCCCAATGGAAATGGTGATGAAGAGAAATAAGTGTTGTGATGAGGAAATATATTCATTATTGTTAAAATTATGTAAATGGGACTTGCTTTTTTTTGAATAATAACTTGTTCACTAGATTACAACACTTGTTCCTCTCTACTATTGAGTTAATGGAAATGGAATTGTTTTATTTTTTAATATATATATATATATAAAGGGTAGTTTTGTTTTCTCAAAATATTTTGATTACATTTAAGTTCTTTGATCATGTAGAGTAGTATATTTCAAAATTGTTTGGTTTTGCAAAACAATAAATGTTCTTTAGTGGTCCTTGGTTGTAATTTTTTCTAGAATTTATTGCATACCTCAAAAATATCAATACCAATGGATATATAATTATATACACAACTCACCAAAAAAAAAAAAGCATAAGTGTGTGTCCATTTTTTAAACTCTGTGTGATGCATAAAATTCAAATATAGAGTCGAAGCTAAAAATAACTTGTGAGAAGACAATATCTCATTTTAAGATATACGCATATATAACTGAAAAAACAAGTTGAGAAAGGGTCGACAATGTGTTAAACCTGCACGCCAAATAAGCATATTTATTAATAATTCGTTATTATATTCTAATTTGACTAGTTATTATTACACAACTTTGGCACAAGCTTGCAGGCTTTTGACCAAGCAAGTGAACAAAGGAGATGAATGGGGAGTAGGGATTGGGGGGCCATTTTCGTCTTAACAAATTTAATCCCAATATTTGTTTTTTTCTTCCCCAATACCAAGAGGTGTTGATATGGGATAAAATCTTGTAAATAGGAATAGGGTTGGGATTGGATTTGCTAATTAATGACCCCATACCAAACAAAAGCCGGACATTTTAATCTCAATCTCAACTCCCCAATCTCTCTTACCAAACAAAGTCAAAGAATCTCTAAAAAATAATAATTAAATTTTAAAATATTAAATTAATAATAGTTAAATTTTTGACAATTTTTTTAAAAAATAAATTAAAAATGTCGATTCAAATTATTATAAATATAAAAGTTTTAATTGCAAATGACTATTTAAATATCAAATATAACTTTTAAATTATAAAAAAAATTTCATTTGTAGATGTTTGAATTAATATTTATAATTTATTTTATAAAAAGTTTATTTTTATTAAAGATAATTATATTTAAAATATCATAAGACATTAAATGTGAGTATCTTTTTCAATAAGATTTAAATATTAATTAGCCAAATTGTGAAGAATAGATTCAATCATATTGGTTATTAATTTCTATTATTAGGAGTCTCACAAGATGAGCTCTCTAAGCAATAAAGAGAAATATCTTCTCATTTCGACACTTAATTTGTTTCTAGCAATATAATATAAATTTCCCAAAAGCATCAAAAGAAAAGAGGGGGAACAAAAGAAAAAAGAAAAGTTAATTCCACAGTCATAACGTATAACTACAGTCTCTGCTCTGTTCCAATGTGAGAATCCTACACCTACGGTCTAAGGATGAGCGCACTTTTCCTAAAATAGATTGCCACTATATACTTCAAATTCACAGAAACATCTTTGGGAAAAAGAAGAGATAACGTAAAAAACTACAGGGGGAAAAACCTTTCAATGATGCCGATTGGAAAGTACAGTAACAGAACTAGACCTCATCATTGATCGGAACTCATGAAAATCCACAAACCCATCTCCGTTCAGATCAACGGCTCCGATCATCTTCTTGCAGTCTCCAACGCTGCAATCCCTCCACCCCAAACTCAGCATCACTCTTCTCAGTTCCTTCGCCGATATCAGACCGTTCCGATCACTGTCATATATCAGAAACGCATCCCTCAGCTCTCCTTCTTCTTCTTCTGCATCTTCTTCCTCTTCCTTCATCACCACCATCATGAACTCATCCAAGTCCACGAACCCGTCTCCGTTAAAGTCCAAAACTTTCACTATCCCTTCAGCTTCTTTCTCAGCCAATTCCTTCTTCTTCTTCTTCTTCTTCTTCTTCTTCTTCTCTGCGTTTTCAAGGCATGCGAGGACGTGGCTGAGCTCGGAGGCTGATATTTTGCCGTCGCCATTAGCGTCAATGAGCTTGAAAACTTGCTTGAACTGGTTAGACACACTTACGATGGCTTCTTTGCCGTTGTGGTCGTCCCTGCTGAAAGAATTGGAAGAGAAAAATGATGATGATCTGCGAGGCTGTCTTGATCTTGTCTGTCTGTCGATGGGATTGTGATGGAGGAGGAAAGTGAAGCAGGTGGTGAAAGGATCAAACATGGTTATTGGATCAGTAAAGTGTTTGGTGTGTGCATAGAAAGGAACGTTAGGTAAGTGAAGAAGAGAAATCTGAAAACATTAAATGGGAATTGACGTTTTCTAACTTTATGAGAAACCCCCCTTTTGTCGCTTCGTGATTGGCTGGTTCAGGTTTTCGAAGTCCGGTCATCCAAGCCTCGCCGGAACGATTTGGGTATATGGGGTCGGGTATTGATTAGGGTTTAAAACAGCCTGCCAACCCGGCCCGAAATGTGTTTTTTAAAAAAATTAATTTTAAATTCTTCAACTTTTAACTCACTTATAACTATATTTCTTAACTATCACTTGTTGCAACTCACTCCTTCAATTTTTAACTCATTTATAATTTAATTTTTTAACTGTTGACTCGTCTATGACTTAGTTTCTCAATTTTTGTTAGTTTTTTTTCATGTTAGCTTACATCCCATCAAAGAGCAAGAGGAATGTATTTTAGAGCAAGATATAAGCATTTCTTTTATCCTTCTTATTTGATAAGGATATTTTTTAAAAAAAATTTGAAAAATAAAGATAGAGTTATAAGTGAGTCAAAAATTGAGGGATTGAATTATAACAAGTTATAGTTGAATGACTAAGGTACAGTGAATTATAATTGAAAAATTGAGTTATAAGTAAATTAAAAGTTAAAATATTTATACATGAATTTCTTCATTTTTTAATATTTTTGGTAAAAAATATTTATTTTATGCAGATTTTTTTTTGAAGAAATACTTTATTGAACATAACAATATGATCAAGTTAAAGATATTAACTCACACAAAAAAAAGCAGCCATTTAAAAAAGAAAAAATATAATTTTATATCTTTATGCTTTGCTCGCGTTTTATTATTGGTCTCTGCATTTTTTTGGTATTTTAGGTTTTTATACTTTTATTTTTCAATGTTTTAAGTCCCTCTATAAATAAAGTATAGAGACTTTAAAATGATCTAAAACATTGAAAAATAAAAGTATAGAAATCTAAAACACTAAAAAAAAGTACAGAGACTAATAGCAAAATATGAGCGGAATGCAAAGATCCAAAGTTATGTTTTCACTTTAAAAAATATTTGAAAAAAATTAATTTATTGTAAACAAAATTAAAAATTATAAAAAAAAAGTGTAAATAGTTTTTAAGTGAGGCATAAAAGGATCATTAGTTTACAGCAGAAACTAATCTCTTCTTAGTGCTGAGACAAAGGATAAGTATTCTAATTAATTAAGTTTACTTTATACACAAAAATTTATACTTGAGCACTGTATAAATATCTAGGTTATGGAGGAGATCCAAGTTAACTCCACCTTTAAATCCATCTCACAAGTGTATAGAAGGATGATAAATTAATAAATTAAACCAAATCAAACCTCATCCTTTTTTTTTTAATTAAAAAATTTAGGTTAACTACGTCTTAGACATTTACAAGAATAAGACATGTCTCTAGAATAAAAGAAACATTTATATGAATACTTATAAATTTTTTATTAACAAGATTCTCAGATTGATAGCAGAGTCGAAATCCACAACTTTCAAAAATTATGAGTTAAATTCTTACCAGTCCCATGAATTTTTATTGGCTCAAGTCTTGTCTTTTATAGGAAAACTTGAAAAAGAATCATTAGGCTTTCTCTAAGAGCAAAAAAGTAAAAGTGAAGCCGTTTGAATTGTGAGGTGTTTTTGATTAGGTGTAGTTTTGATTGAGTGATGATAATGACAGAATGTGAAGGCCGGCAGAACCCAAAAGAGCAGAAAAAATCTATTTTGTTGGATATCTCTGAATCATTTGGCAAACTTTGTTTTACTTTTCTTGCCGCTCTTGGATTTTTTGAAAAATCCCTTCTTGTGGGACCCAAGCATGTTCACATCTCTTGAGATATTTTAGATTTGAACAGCCTTTGCCTTGTTCATTAACACAAGTGTATTAATTCAAGATTCTAGGGTAAATTAATTTAATTCTCTTGCCTAATTGAATCAAGCATTTATGCGTTTTTATTTTCCTCTCATCAATTTTATATACTTCCTTCATTTAAAAATATAAAAAATATTTTAAGAAATTAAATGTTAAAAAATATAAAGCATGTTTAATCTTTCAAAATGTAATTGTTGCTCTTTTTTCAAAAGTACCTCAATTAAATAAATTACTTTATATTTATTTCAGGGTGAAATATGCTATTAAATAGAGATAAATATAAAAGGATAGGGTTAGTTTGAAGACAAATAACTATTTTATTGGGATGAAATTTTATTAAAAATGCATTATATTTTTTAACAAAAAGAGTATAAATCATTTTTAACTATCTCACTATGATTAAGAAGAGGTAGTTAAAGTATTGATATTGTTTAAAAAAGAAAGTAATTTTCTGGTTTAACCTTATTTTTTATTGATAAAAGATATCTTCTTATTGAAAGTAATTTTATTCAAAACATGGTTGAATACAAACAGTGAGCACTCCTCTTAATAAGAATTCAAACATTGGTTCCCACATTATAAGGGACTAACTTGTTTAGGTTGACCCACTCTTTCTTGATCTGGTTTATCCTTAAAATATCTTTGCTCTCATTTGTATCATTTTATTCTACTTATAGAAAATTGTAAAAGAATAAAATTGAAAAAAAAAAATCAATGATCCACTTTTTTTGTACAAGGTGACTTGTAAGAAGGATCACAAATTCTTTGTAGAAAGAGACTTTTATCAATGAGAATACTATTTTTATTTATTATTACTTTCCATTAAAATCTATTATCATCAACTATATGATTTTACAATAAAAAACCAATGACTTGTGAATAGTAACGGGATTTAATAGATGTGGCTTGTCTTTGGTGATGTATTTCATATATATACATATATATATATATATATAAATTTTTTAAACATTATATTTTGTTGATAATTATAATTTGTTATGATAGTAGGTCTTGCATTGTTATAATACATATGGTATGGGCAATACACAGATCACCATATTAGGTTGTTATGTTATACTCCTCCATTTTTAAATATAAAAGTAACTGCCCTGTATTTTATTATTTTTTATTATAAGTAAAATTATAAATTTTAAAAAATATTAATTATATTTTTCTCAAATTGCCCTTCATATAGTATCATTAAATTAGAGGAAAAAGTAAACATTAATTATAAAGGTATTTTAATTTAAATATTTCAATTTCAAACATAATTATTAAAAACTAACTTTCTTAAATTTTATGAGTCGGTTATAATTCTCTGGTATTTGAGAATGAAGGTAAGTTGATAGTTGTGATATCATTTTATATTTACTTTTTGAGATAAAAGCATTATCAAAATTCAATTAAAAAAATTAAGATATGAATAATGATACGGGTGAGAAAAGAAATTCTTAAGTAGCCCTGAAGCACTAAGCACTATGTTATTTATCATCTAGCCAACTAAAATATAACATTTCATCAAATTTTAATATAAGCTGGCACTGACTTAGCATTTATTTAAGAAAAAATTAATCTTTTAATCCTTTAACTTTTAACTTATTTGTAACTCATCCCTCAATTATAATTCGCTACGACTCAATCCCTCAACTTTTGATTCACCTATAATTCAATCCTTATTTTTAAATTTTTTTAAAATTTTTTGTCAAATAAGAGGAATAAAAAATGCTCATATATTATTTTAAAATACCCTCCTTAATGTGAGATATAAGCTAACATAAAAAAAATTAACAAAAATTTAGGGATTAATTTGTAAGTAATTTAAAAGTTAAGAGATTGAGTTATAGGCGAGTCATAATTAAAATATTAAGTTATAAGTGAATTAAAAGTTGAAGAATTAAAAGATCAATTTCTTATCCATTTAATTAATATTACATACATACATACATATATATATATATATATATGAAAATAACTACAATCCAATTCAATTTGAATAGAATATTTTATTCCTTTTCCCTCGAGTATATCAATCAACCTTACTCCTTGTTTGGAGGACATATGCCTAGGCTTCTGCAGCTTCTTGTTCATGGAACCCCCATGCTCTTTGCTCCTCAATCCGCTTTCATCCCCTTTTAAGTGTCTGCACCTTGTCCATCATGATTATATGGATGTTTGGATTTTTTTTAAAATATATAATTTTAAATTCATAATTAATTTTAATATAGGAGTGTTTAAATATATTTTTATAAAATTATAATTTTAACCTCTATGATTATAAACGTTATGCAAACAGGCCCTATCACTTTTAGCAGCAATCAGAGTCAAGCCTAGGAAGTAGGAACTCACTAGAGTTAACTTGAGCCTTCAAGACTCAAGTTATTGCTCAGACCATGAATATGAGAGCTTCCCTATGTCACTGACAGAAAGAGAAGAGAGCTGAGATGGGGGGAAAAAAGAAGAATAAAATATTCTATTCAAAATGGATTGAATTGTAGTTATTTTTCAAAAAATATATATATATATATATATATAAATTAAATAAAAGTCAAGTTAGTGCCAGCTCATATTAAATTTGATGGCATGTCATATTTTAGTTGGCTGGACCACAAATGATGTGGTGCCAGCTTCAGGTCTACTTTAAGAATTTTTCAGGACAAGAAGTATACACTTGACACTTCCATCTCTTTCCTTTTTCCTCAGTTCCCAAGAGAAAAGAAATAATAATATTATTATTATCTCTTATCCATTCACTTTCCAATGTCCTTGATTAATTTAAGCCCATTGTATCATATACTTGATCCCAGGTTTTCCCATGCATCCGTGTTGTCATATTCTTATTATTGTCTTTCTAAAATTATGTGGACTTGTTTTAAATGTAACTTTATTTATTGAGACAATATTGCGGCCTCAACTTGTTTGCTAACTTTATCAATGTGATGTACATCACTCGGAGTTATATATATAATTAGATTGTGGATCAATGCCTTATCCAAAGTTTTAGAAAAACTACTGTTTCTGACTTCAACATATAAATAATCCATATTTATATGAATTATATATATATATATATATAGATGTAAAATGTTTTCTTCTGGACTTCCCTTCCAAGTGTGTCAAATCTCGAAAGCTCATTAAGATTCAGATATGCTTACAAACTTAAATATAGCATATAAAGATATCTGCAAATAGCTAATCAATAAACTCTTTACATTGACAGTTTAAACCCACAAATTTGAAGAGTTATGGACCAAATCATTAAACAACCTATTAGCCCAAGTTAACAGGGGAAAAAAATCTAATTAACTGTACCAAATATATATAGTCGCCCATATGAGCCAGCCTCAACACATTATAGATTATACAACTTTTTTTACATATTTTTACATTTATGAAGTCAAAAAGGGGGAAAACATAAGATATTATTTTTTTTTCTTTCTAAATATCATATAGCTCCGCAATCATATCATAGATAAACCATAAAAATAAGTTGGCTCGAATATCTTCACCCAAAAGAGGCTATCAATTCGGGTTGTCAATAGCAAGCTCATGTATTACAACACGTTATACAATTTCGGTAACAGATTTTGTATTACCGAAACTACATAAAGTTGTAACACACGCACACATAATAAAATATTTGGAAATGGAGTGAAGTTCCGCATCACTAGCCAGCATTAACTAAATCAAATAATATATCAAGAAAATCTCAAGCTTTATAGGTATCATTCTACAGTAGAGCTCAATGTCAAAAATGAGGAAAAAGTAAGCGTACAACATTAAACCACGTGCGTCAATGCACAGAATTCTAAATACAGAAGATTTGGAAGGTACAGCTACAAGAAAACTGCTACCATCTTTTTCATATACTACTATCAAACTATATCAGAGAAAGTAGAGGCAAGCGAGGGGAAAATATAAACAAAGAGAAAAAAAATCTCAGACCCAGAAAAATAAAAAAAATATCCTACGCCTTGAAATGCATGCATGGCCAATATCAGTTTGAACGAAGCAAAACAGGACCGACTGTTAAACTAAGCATGTCACTGAGAGCTACCTGGACCTCGTTTGAGCCGTGTTCGCAACTTATCAAGTTTGAGAGAATAGGGAAAAAATGCGCCAAGTTCCTCTCGAATGAAGAATCTCCCAAATTAGTTATGGCCTGAAGGGTAGCCACAACAAGAGGTGCACGAGCGGCTAATTCTCGTCGCTTCCCAGAGCCTGAAGGAATTAACCAATGAGGCTGTCCACTGTGAGATGATTCAGGCGTTCGTCTGAGACCTGCAATCTCAATGTAGAACTCCAAGACCTCCTGACAAAGTCGGACAAGATGAGTTTCAACCTCAGCCTCCTCATAGTTATGAGGCCTGTCCTCAATAAGGTTCTGTAAAAATGTGAGGCATATTTGGTAGGATTCATTCTCAAGGCGCAATAAAGGTGGATCTTGCATTTGGGTCATTGAGCCAAATTCTTGAAGCTTAGAACGTAAACTAGTGTTGCTGTTAATCTTGTGAGCGTGCAATGCCACATCATGCAAGGCACCGAATAGGACAACCATGTTTTTGGCCGAAAGGTGAGACCGATACATGTTATAGATCTCCATCACCGCCTGCCAATTCCAGAGTGTTTACATCTTTCAATAAACAAATGAATGCCTTTTACTGGCATGCATGATTGCGATAGTCAGTGCACATTAACATGCATTCAAACAAGGCACGCTTTTATACAATCCCAGGGTCAAGAAAATTTAGATCTAAATTAATGTTAAATATTAATAACACAAGATCTTGATCACATATCCGTGAACATAGAAAGCATAGGCCCGTCCAGGATTTACAATGAATTTCTTCTTGTTTTGAAACTATATTTCAGATGAAGATGCATAAAGACTATATTGTAACCAGAAAGACAATTCTTATTTCACAAAATCATCAAATAAGCAATCTCATCAACAATATTGTGTTTGACTAGACCTACAATAACAATACTTTTCAGAGACAAATAATTCAAATTGACATGGAACTGAGAATGCCAAAAACCACCATGGGCAGTGGCAGAACCAGCATCAATGGTGGGTGGGGGGGAATTTTAATGGAAAATAATTTACATATAATCATATAATATATGAAGAAACTTTAAAAAATGATAAAGTGCAATTATATGTTCCTTCCAATTTTATTCATAAATCATTTTTAATATATTTCATCAAAGTCCATGAAAACTTTAAAATTTATTAAATCAGTCTAAAAATTTAACAAGCTTTCAATTTTGCTTTTATTAAACATGCTAACACTTAATAGGGGTAAAAAGATGCAATAAAAAGTCAATGATATACCTTGTAAATAGAAACGAAAAATTCTTCTCTTTTGAACTTATAAATAGTATCACAAGGTACGTATTAATCATAAAAAAAATGATAGGCAACACTCTTATTAAAAATTTGTAGTTTTCAAAAGACTTATATACTTAGCCTTATGTATACTTAGTGATATACTTATATCTAGTCAAATCATGAATAGTAAGTCTTAATATATTAATTAAATTAATAATAATTCATTATAGTATAACAACAACAACAACAACAACAACAAGCCTTTATCCTACTAGGTGGGGTCGACTACATGGATTGCAAGACGCCATTGTGCTCTATCATAAAAGATTTAATTAGAAATTATATGAAGTATATAAGGCTGAGTTTACAAGTTCTATCCATTCTTATTCTAACGTGAAGTTCAAACCTTAGTACCCATGAAGTGCTACATTAACTATATCTTATTGCAGTGCCACATTAACCATCAAATACAACTTTCCATAATTGTATAATATTATACGTGAATAGGTGAAGGGAAATTATTATTTCTAATAGAATATATGTCTAGCAATTTCCTATAGATGCATATTGAAGTGGCAGAACTTTTTTTTTTTTTGGGAGGGGGGGTGGGGGCAGCCACGGTCCCCTCCAATTAAGACATAGTTCCGCCACTGACCACAGGGGTGTCCCCCAAGTGTAAATTATGGGAGTACAAGAGCAGGAGGAGATATTAGCAGTGTCAAGGCAAACCCTGCAGTGTAACTAGGGTTTATAAGTGACCCAATCAATTCAGACCAGGCCAGCATGAAAAATTACAAAACAGGGCTGGCAAGAAAAAGGGCAGGCATTGTATCAGCCAAGACAGGCTACGAGCAGGGCCTCAGGCTTGCCGTTCCAATCCATATATCTTTGTATTCTCTTTATGAATAAAATTTCGTATAATGTTTGTTTCCCATACTATGTGGTGTACCCTGCTCTGTGTTCAGTGGCAAAGTTTTTATTAAATTTACAAGTCCTTGATAAGAAAGTTGAACATTTTTTTTTATTGATTTTTATATAAAATCTCAACTTAATAATAACATAATCAGAAACCCTCCTCTCAATTTTTTCTTGGTGTTTCTTTTTCTCCTCCCAATTTCATTGGACAGTCTCGTCCCCTCCTTCTCTCTTCACTCTCTCCTCTCATTAATCACCATCTGGCTGCCATCCAACAAGATCCTCACCAGCCACCAGCTCGTCTAGACTGCCCTCTCCTCATATTATTGAAACCGTCTTTAACTTCTTGTGATGATAGGATCTGCCAACCTACAACTTGGGGCTTGGAGGGCATTTTTTGTTTTCATTTTGAAGGATGAAATTGATCTAGTAGTTTTGATTTAGAAAGATATACTGAATACAGTACATGTTTTGATTTTTTTCCCCCTCATGGATTCTTCATTAAATTCAAATAAGCTTGAATTTTTCCTCTTCTCCCTCATTCTCCACCCCTCCTTTTTTTGGGAAAAGGCATGCTCTCATCATCGGGTCAGCCACAGAGGCTTAAAATGCATCTCACAGTCTATCTATCTGGGACAAGCAGCTGGCAGGGGTTCAGGCCAGCTTGTCCATACCTGTGAATAGCCCTAAACGTACCCAATCAAATGACTTTGCAACTAACATTGTTTCAAGGGTATTACCAATTTTAGATATTCACTAGTTAATCTTAAATTTTATACAAAATTTAAAAAATAAAATCACAAGCGTATAAACTATTTAGATCAATATAAACACATACATACATATACAATACAATCAAATTAGACAAAAAAGAGAGATCGTGGCAAAATTAAAGCATGAGAAAGATGACGACTATGTTGAATTGGGATATGTTCGTAATTGATGATTATGACTAATGGCACTTTTAGAAAAGTAATAATAATTTTTTACTTGTGTTTCAACTTGAATGATAAGTTCCAATTTTCTTATCCCTATGATTGAAAATAAAATGTTTTTACTACTATGTTAAAGCTTAATTGGATTTCGGGCAAACAACAGAAACTTCCAAAAACGTACTCTTTATTTTCATTTTTACTTTTGTACTTTTTCAACAATAAGCATGCCCAATGGGTCCCAACTAGTGCGCTTTTTATGTTACAGTATTCGCTGGGGACACTGCTTCACCCCCCCCTAAAAGTTAATTTTTAACCACGTTTGGAGCAACAGATTGAGAATCTACCTGAATAAGTAAAAGTTGAACAGCTGCTCGGCATTTTGCATCTGATAAATATGCATAAAGTTGATGAGTCCTCTGCCTTTCTGAATTATCCTCAGGAGAGCCAGACTCAACATGTTCATTGTCATATTCATCAGCAGCTGAATCATGCTCTTGATGTCTAGCCAATAACTCGCCATTTTCAAGGAACGAAAAGTCAGCAAGTGTTGCATTTGCTGCTTCTTTTAGCGACAAAACCACTTCTAACCACTTTTCTTCAGATAACAACTCCCCAGCATTACTCATTAAACGAACAAATGCAGCAATACCAATGCCAGCTAGGCTTTGATGAGGGCGCTTTATAAAGCTTACTAGGAGCATCAGAACCTTCTTCAAAAGTGGATTGACTGTATCATAAAATTTAACAAAAAGATCCACTACCAATTGGAGGGCTAATGTGCATGTCTCATAAAGCCATGCATCTTGATCAAGCTCACCTTCATCATCCACTTCATTCCCTAGTGCGCTACTTCCTGAAGGATCAATAGCATGGCGCACATAATCAAATATGGGAAATAGGACTGATTCAAATACCTTTTCCCATAAACCTAGTGAAAAGAGGTGGCCATGGTTACGTAATGTTTCAAACAGAACTTGCAAGGCGCTTTTTCTAATCTCTGGCCTAGGATCGAAGCTAAGTTCAGACAAACCTGCACATATTTACAAAAATCAATAATTACAATTTACAACTCACAAGCTAAGCTCCTTAATTTTCTTTTTAAATAAATTTGATATAAGCATGTCCACAAATCTTACACTATACTCACCAGCCAATAAAGGAAACCAGAAATAGAGATGATCATCCTTGTCAGTCACCTCTCCAGTATCGTGTTTCCCCTCTTTTCCTGTTCGAGGTGAAGGTGTAGTAATCTTTCCAGATGTTTCCTTGTCCTTATTCCTCGAAGAAGCACCAAGGTCTCCTTCTGCTAGTTTTGTTGCACAAAACCGGAGAAAAGCAATGGCATTTAGGCTAATCTCTTTGTTAAATCTACTGTTGGTGAAAGCAATTAGACAATTGACACAATCTGTGAAGGTGGTGGTTTCAGTCTCAGTGATATAAGGAAAGTAATCGCGAATAATCTTCTCAATTATTTCAAAAGCTAAGAGCACAATGTTTTTGTGGTCATCATAAGCTGCTGTGGTGAATACCTGAGATCAAGCCCACAAACAAAAAGCAAAAGGAGACACTTTAGCAGACATCATAACTAAAAATTGCATTCAAATAGAAGCTCTATCTAAACGACTGGGATTTATCAACTTTACCATGAACATGCTCTTCCATCCTGATTTGACATTGTTGACACGAGATAAAACCATTTGAGATACACATCTGATAATCAGTTCCCTAATTTCAACAGCACTACTCTTTCTCATAACAATGACGAAAGGCTTCATAAATTCATTTTGAAAATTATAATTAGCCAACTCCTCACGCTCCAGAAACTTCATTGACAATTGACGCAAAGAATCCATTGCAAAAATTGCAATTGAAAGGTTTCCAGAACAGCCTATGTTTACAAAAAAATCAGAGAGAACATGCCAGATGCTAGACCACACAAGCCTGATGCGGTTCATATTATAGTGCCTGTTAAGCAATGACAATGCCAAAAGTTTAACAGAAGCATACAAAATCAAGGAATCATAAACTCCATCATAATATACCTAACCCCCTCCCCCAGCTTTTTAATCAAATTGCCATCTTCACATATTTAATCTTTGGGGGCAATTGTAATAATCCCCAACTTTTTAATGTACTCCATGAGACATTTGCTCTAGTTTAGCAGGCCAACTCATTGAATTGACTGAACAAACCATATAGAGTTTTGCATAATAGATTTTGTGTAAATGAGGCGATGAGGCAAGGTACAGAGAGCAAGGGTCAAAAAGTTAATAAGCCTACTCATTAAGAGGGGGTGTAGCAATTGCCTCAAAGAACACTGAGCCATAGAGCAGTTGATTTTACTTTTCTGGAAAAAAAGAATAATCTTAACACCTGCCCAAACAGATCAAGACTTAAGAGGAAGGACAAGGAGAGGAGCATGTATTAAATTTAAATAGCAGAAAGAAAACACATACGCAATCTCAACTATCTTTGTAAGACTAAAAACCCGTGGATCAGATGGAGATTTCAGTTCTTCCATGGAGACCTTGCATAGAGCCTTAACAAAATCAATTATGGCCTCACTATTCAACTTCTGACTTCGAGTGAATATTCTATTCATTTCTGAACTTCCAACTTGTTCCAACATATTCAAATTAGAAACTAGATTGTTCATCTGTTCTGACGTGACCCCAGAAGTGTTACTTCCAATACCAGCACTATCATATGAACCCCGCATCACAGTGGCAGCGGCATACTGCATTCTCCCAGGTCCCTTCTTCTTCAAAACAGGAAGAGTGGTTGATTTTCCTTGCTTTGCTTTTTCAGAATCATTCTGAGGAAAGGCAAAGAATGTCGCATCAGGTGGAGCCCCCTCTCCAAGAAGATGTAGATGCTCAAATCGGGAAACACATGTCAAGATATGCTCCCAAGCTTCTTGTAAGTAATTCCCCTCCTCATCAGCAATAGTAACTATAGCCTATCCATAAAGAAAATGGGAAATCCAAAGTCATCCACAATAAAGTATCATTCAATTTAAGTACCAGGAATACATGAGGTTCAATATTTAATGGCCCGTACTGTGCCTTCAGACATTACAAAACTCATTTCTTTTTCAGTTTGTAGCGATTAAGGTGCTTGGACAAACAAAAATCCATTTTGCGACAAAAACATAGCATATTTCTTGAAGTGAACCTTGACATGAATATAAAAAAGGATATACTAGTGATCATGGATGAAAATGAAAATGGATCAGCATATTAAAAATGTATGAACCAAAAAAGAACAAACATGACCTGAAGATGTCATGGAAGGGCTTTTTCGATCCTAAAAATCACCAAGCATTTTGAAGTAGGTACTAAATCTACAACTCTTAAAGAACATTAAGGCTTAAGCAAAAGGAGAACTGACAGTTGATAATAACTTTAGTTTGTTACGTTGCACATAAACCAACTAGAAGAGAAGTAAAAATTTCTAACCTTGTAAAGGGAGGAAAATAAAAGGTATGCTAACCTTGATAGCATCTATGTTTTTCTGTTTAATATCAGCAGGAGAATGTAGGGAGGTGAACTTGGCTAATGAAGTCACAAAAGCATCTCTATGAGTCTTCATGGTCATTACAGAGGTAACATGAATAGCACAGCGGAAGCCTTCAAGACAAAGAGCTATTACAACTTCATCATCACTTTGATCAAGAGGAACGCTGAAGGCAGCTAACATTGGCGCCCAACACACCTCAATCATAAATCTAAGGATTACCACATCCGTAGCTGCATAATAGGCTGACCTACAAATTGCAATAGAATACACACAAAGAAGGAAATATAAGAATTTTTTTTCTCTATTTTTTTTTAAAACCTTGTAAGAAACCGCAATAAATTAGAATAAATCAACAAAATTTAAAAAGTACTGTAATCGCCATAAAAAAGAATAAAGTTCAACCAAAAAAAAAACTGCTTTGAATGTGTCAGATTCATACGTTATCCTTTGGGAAAAAAATTGACATCTAAGGCAACAGATGTATACCCATAAGAATTGTAGGACCCACCCACAAATAGCCTGGAGTTAAATGGAAACAGGAGACAGAAGATATTCATGCCAGAAAGAGAACGGAAAAAACAGAGTGAATGACCAGGGAAAGACTTTGGACAGAAGAATCTCTTCTAGTAAACAGGAAATATGAGTGTACATACTCAGACTTCCGAGCTTTTTCCTTGAACTGTTCTTGCATGTGTCTGATAAGATCATCACTGGTCTCCATATGACTGTCATCCCCACGCTTACGGATCACAACATTCAAGATAGTATCCAAGCCTAACAGTCTGTTAGGGTTCACAGCCTGCTTTTGTTGGGGAGCTAGGTTGTCATCTTTCATTTTGATCTCATTTCTAGATATTCTTTCAAACAATGACCTCAAGTATTCCTCTGGTAGATCTTTTCCATCATCAATACCTCGATTGTTTCTTATGAAATCATCAGCAGACATCTGCATGATAAAAAGGTATGATACACATGTAGGATTATAGAAATCATAATCACACATGCCTTAATATAAGGATTATACAAGCACACCTTGTTTTTCACCATAGGATTGTGAGCATCAGTATTAAGCATTATGACAGAATAAGCAAGGACATAAGCTGTGTCAGCACTAGAAAAGGCCTTAGGGTTGCATTTGCAATAGCGTTCTGCAAACTTCTCCATGATTCGATCAATCTTCTGGGCCTCACCAGGTAATCTAAACCCTTGAAGAAAAGCCCTGATTGCCTCATCAAACTCCATTCCTTGAAAATCAAATGAATCAACATATGCATGCATAACCTTCAAGGACATTTCTTCCCTTTCTCCCAGATAATCACCAATCAAAGTCTTGTTCAACCCAGATGCATCTTTTAGAAAAGAAGCTATATCTTCTGGTGAATTACCCACCTTGTTAGCATTGATGAGGAATTCAATTCCTTTCTTAGGCTTCCTATTAAAAAGGGATATACCTTCCTGCCATAAACTCAGAATTAAAATCATGGATGATGAAAAGCTAAAGCATTATGAGAGACATAATTTATTCTCAAAACATCATGCACTTGCTCACCTGAAGTTCCAGTTTGTAAGCCCGGCGTTGCTCGATGGTTGAAGCATCAGAACCTTCATTAGAGATTTCAGAATGAGAGTCTGATCCATCAACAGGCTCTTCTCCATTGCCATTTGCCATTGGAAGACCTCCTGCTTCATGGTTGTTATCAGTAGCTTCAGTCTTCTTGGTTGAATGAGGATCTGGAATGCGCAATTGTCTGTTCACCCAGTCTCCCATTGATTTTAAAACAGCAACCAAGCATTTCATGGTCTCAAATTTTAGCGTTGCCTCTTGAGGGGGCAAAAGTGAAGTCGCTACACCAGGTGGGACACCCTGAGCAGTTTTAAGAAGTCCATTGACCATCCTACAAGGACCACAACAATTAAACAGTAAAGCAATGAGTGTATTGAATGACAAGCACACCTACACCAGCTGAAATAGTTTCAAAATTGATCGAGGAATGCAATGCTAAAAAATATAATATATAAAGTAAACCAAATTTTGGGGGAAAACCTCACCTCTCAAATATGTTGATGAATTGACATCACAGTCATAATTGAGAAATATGTCCACCAATATCTGTGAATCAACACACAACCTCTCTAGAAAACGAAGAACTATCATCTTTTGCTGAAAATTAGGTTGAGCTACATTTTCTAGAACCCTCAGAACAATCATAGGGAAAAAAACTCCAATTTCTGCTTTTAATCCAGTTCTAAATCTTGATACAAGACTGATGAAAATGGAGCAAGATAACTGGAAAACTATCATAAGAGTTGAAGCACTGTTCTTCAACAACGATAAACATAAGTACTGCTTGATAGCACCCAAAACCTGTTTCATCACAAGCAAACACAAATATTACTATTCTTCGTCATCATTTAAGGAAACTTGTAGGAGCTAAACATCAAAGCAGAAGAATAACTTAAAGCAAAGAATGAAGTGCAGCAATTTCTGAACAGTTACGGGCATTTTATAAAGGAGTTAGTCATTTATTCAACTAAATAAAGTTTACTGATTTCGAAATAATAGATAGGAGAACAAAGGAAGCTTTAAATTGCATGGGCCAAATCAAAAGAAGTTTTACTGATTTTAAAATAACGAAGGAAAAAATTTACCCCATTATGCATTCATTCATCCAAATGTTCATTTAGTAGTCTAAGTACACTGGAAAATATAAAAGCAAAAACCAAAGTGGTGCAATTTATGAACATTCAGGGCATTTTTATATGTATTGACCAGGAGAGGGGGCACTTTTATTGGTTTTAATCATTTCCTCAACTAGATGCTTTCAAATGGCATCTGGTAAATCAATGGAAGTTTACTAATTATTAAAGGAAAACAGACCTACATTTGCTGTACTGTCACAGCATGCAAATAGCCTCTGCCTTAGGCCTCTAACAAGTCCAGATTGCTTATTCCAGAAGATAAAAGCAGCAGGAAAAGGAACAAGGAAAGAAGGGGCGTTGCTGACATCTGAATTCTGGAAGCCCATAAATTTGGAATTATTTAAAAGATTTAAACAAAATCCCCAATTTCCTGGTCAGAATGACACAGGTGTTCACTCATATTGGCAATGAAAAACTGCATAAATATCAATTACAAAACTCAGGAACCACCCTAATTAATGATCTTTTATTGTTACCAACATATGACCTTTATTTAATTATGCATAAACTGTATAATCATGCTCCTCTCCAATGGTCATCGACAATTTCATTATGATATCATTTCAAATAGTTCAATATACAAGTGTGGAAGCGATATCTATTCAACAGAACTTCTGGACAATGCAGTGGAGTCTAACACGTCCAAAACTAAGCTAAATGCAGAACTGCATGCTGCCTATCAATAAAATTAGACCAAGGTACAATCTTCCCCTTCCAAATAAGAATGCTCACATTAAGAACGTTCCCAAGAAAATTATCGTCTAGGAAAAGAAAAGAAAGCAACCGGTAAGTACTGATACCTTTCACTAGTCCTGAACACAGCTCCAGCATTCTCTAGCAAAATCTTTAATAACTCTAGTGCCACAATCTTCCCCTTCATTAGCTGCGGATCAGTAGATGCCTCCTTGGGGGGCGTCTTCATAGATAGTTTACAAAGTGCTCTAAACACCAAAAATGCATCCCTCCGCAACTTATTTCCGATCTGAACCTCCAAATCATCATCTCTATCGGCCTCCCCATCCACTAACTCACCTTTCCTTCCCTCCAATGCTGTCTTGTACATACTGATTTCCCAATATTTCGCATCTAGCATGTCTTTGTCCGTAGAATCCAACAAATCCGCAGGGTTAGTGGCTTCCACTGCAGTGGTCTCAAATGCACCATCATGTCCACCTAAAGAAATTTTACCGGGCGTCACAGGGTTAAGTACCCCATCTATATCCTGCATAATTTTCGTGATAAAACCTTGCACAAACTGCGTCATTGAACTGTCTGCATCGGATTTTTCAACAGGTTCCATTAACTCAGCCACTACAATTGGTTGAATTGGGACTGTGGAAGAGTCGGCCTCCATTCTCCGAAACACTATCACTAGCATTTGAACCAACGACGCCTTAGCCGTCGTCTGATTCACCACATTTTTACTACCAAGATATATATCATAGCATGTCCTTATAATGAGGAGCAGGCAGTCACCATGAATTCTCAAAGATATCGATGTTACAGCAGACAAAAGCGTCTTCAGCACCAACAATTCCATCGCATCGTCTCCCAAATCGTGGCATTTACATACTGACTCAATCAAATTAGCCAAGAGCTTAGCTTCGGCACCGCCCCCTCCGGGGTCTGCCTCGCCGCGTAGGTAACCGTGGGCAATCAATTTCTGGATAGCATCGACAGCGGGATCAGCGATCTTCAAGAACCCAGAGTTAGCCGCATTGATCAAAGGGCTAAGAATCGATTCCGACTCCGCAAGCGAGTACTCCACAGGACCACCGTCATGAAGTGGCCCCGGCACCAAACTCTCGGGTTCGCTATCGGAGGGTGAGCCAGGCAACTCCTGCCTCTGAGGCGAATTTAGCCTTTCGATAACCGATTTGCACTCATGAGCAAGCTTCGCGTGCTTCCGCCAGGAAGCGTTCTTGACGATTTTCTCAAGGGCAGGGATAACGACCTGACTCAGACGGGAATCGGCTTCCGAAGAAGCCATTCCCGAGCTGGAAAGGAGCTTTGACTCAGTGACAGTTGGGATCTCGAAATTGGAGAACGAAAAAGGACCGCTTCAAGCTAAGATCTTTCCATGAGCTCAGCGAGTTGCTTCAACAATGGCAGCGGGTTAACTCAGTGAGTTATGCGGTTGCACCCCAGCTCCACTACGGCACTCGATTCTTTCATCGAGCAATGGAGGAGGAATTGAGGTTCAGGGATCTGATCGTAAGGAAGGAGAAGGGTCAGATTTGAGATCTCGTTTAGGTTCGCTTTTCGAAGGTCCAAGATTAGGGATGAATTGACCAAAACACCCTTCCATTCATGGTGAAGAAGGGGGCTTAATTCGTAATAAAATTGATAAAGTAGGGGTAATTACGGGCTACGAAGATATTGCCCCTGTAGTAAGATGGCTTAATAAAGTGCAGATCTCGGATTGTGTCTTCACAATTCTTTTTGTCTGTTTTCTACCTATTCTCATTGCAAAGCCTTTTTATTTTTTTTAACTAGGTGAAACAAAAGCTCATTTTAGACGGGGACTTGAACGAATTAGTTATAAATAAAAATTGAGGAACTAATAAACGAGGAGTGACAGATTGTGTGAAACATGTTTATTTTCTTTTGGTTTTTTCGTCCTGATTGAGTACTGGGTAGTTCAGTGGCCAGCCATTAAATATGAACATTTTTATAGTGAAAATTTGAATATTAATTTAGAGAAACTCATTCCTTTTGCTACATCCAATTATTATTGGTGTCGTGAGACATTTTTTTATTGAAAAGTTCAAATATAAATTCAAAGTTTACAACATATCATGATTCATAATAGGATCTCTCTTATTAATTACTGCCTCTTCTGTGAGAGATAGGAGTTGATCAAAGATACAAAAGTTGTCATCTAAAGTGTGAGATATGTTTAAAAGGAAGTAACATGTGGGAATGCCAAATTTGGAATTATCTTGAATGATAAATATATTCTTATGCTTGAGCCCATTAGGAGACCCCTTGCACTGATTGTTTGGAGATGTGAGGGGGCACTTGCTTTATTTTTTACAAAAATAATAATAAAATTTTTTTAAATTATATAAATAATATTTGATCCTTTAAAATATTATAATTTTTTTAAAGTTTTTAGAAACTTTTTTATCATTAAGGAATAAATGTAAATAATCAAATTATCTTTAATTCAAATATCAATTGTTATTTATAAATTTTGTTTTAAGATTCATAATTTTTGTTCTTAAAATCACAAGAATTTAACAACAATTTGGAAGCTCGCATTTAAAATTTTAATATTTCTCAAGTGTTGCAAATATTAATTCTCATTTAAAAGTTTTGTTTTATGATTCACAACTTTTCTTCTTAAAATTACAAAAATTTAACAGTAATTTGCAAATTTAAATTAAGGATAATTTAGTCATTTATATTAATTTCTTAATAATGGAAAGTCTCAAGAGACTTCAAGAGAATTATGACATTTTTAAGGATCAAAATGTCATTTACATAATTCAAAAGATTTTATTGTTATTTTTTATTTTTGATGATAAATTTGCTTTGGGTTACATAAAAAAAAAATTGACGATCTAAAATTACAAGTAATTTGAAAAACATTTCATCCATATTCAAATTGCATTTTCCAAACTGTTAAGCTGTAACATTGCATTCAAGGTAGGAAAAAGTTCTAGTAAGTTGTACATCACATTTCATTTTTGAGCTATTTATTACATTACAAAAAGGTCTTTTTGCCGATTTGTCATCATTAATCCATACTAATTTGAGATGGCCACAAAAAGGGTAAATAAATAATTTTTAGATAAATTTTCGATCCTTCTCTTGCACACAAAAAAAATATTATAATAATAAGAATAATAAATAAATATAATTAATTGATGTACCAATGTGCAAGCTTATAGGAGCTGGTCCAAAAAAAAAAAAAAAAAAGAAAAGCTTATAAGAATAATCGATTCCACATGCCACGCCACGGAGAACATTTTAGAGCGACCTTAAAAATTTTAATTGCCCCTCAGAATTTTCAATTGCGCCAACCACTATACAAAAAATACTTACTCCCTTAAAAATTTTTACTTATCCCGTAAAAAAAATTACGATCTAAAATTTTATTTATATCGTGTGATATAATTTTGAATAGTAATAATGTGATCTAAACTTACTCCCTCAATAACAATTTGTTTATAAAAAAATTTTATCACAAAAAATTTATCTTCCATACAAAAGAAGTATATAGATTTTATTTAATAAAAATTTAAAAACATCATTTTATAAATATAAAAACTATTTATATAAAAATACTCCTTTCGTTTAAAAATGTAAGATATTTTTTGAGAAGTTGAATGTTAAAAAATATAAGATATTTTTAGTCTTTTGAGGTGTAATCATTATCTTTTTTTTTTCAAAAGTGTCCTTATTAATGAATGACTTTATATTTATTGTAAGGTATTTAATAAGGGTAAATATAAAAAGATAGAATTAGTTTGAAAATAAAAAAATATTTTATTGGAAATGAGATTTTATTAAAAATGCCTTATATTTTAAAAAGGAGGGAATAGTTTTTATGTTATTTAATTTTATCTTTTATCCATTATTTTCCAGTACTTAATTTATTAAAATCTATCATTGATATGATTTAATAAATATTTAAATTAGTTTTTACAAAAAAAAATAATATCTATTTCAATTTAGAATTGTGCTCCACTGGCTTATTTTCTGGGTCCATTATACTCAAATATAATATAAGTTTCTTAAAAAATCAAATAAATCAATCAATCGACGCAAACATAAAATTATAAACTATTGGTCATGTCACATGGATAGATGCAGATTGTGTGATTTCCACGAGACTCCACGCAACACAATGAGTTAAGATCTTGTTTATTTTTTTACCCAAAAAAAAAAACAGCTTGTTGATTTATTTTAATAGTTAAAGTTGTTCAAAGGTTGGCCAAAAGAAAAAGTTGTTCAAAGGTTTTGTTTATTAATTTTAAAACCAACCCAAACCAAATTAATTTAATCTGTGCAGAGAAAATTAGAATAGTTGTGGAATGAATTGATTTGACTTTATTTTTTTGACAATTTTATATCAGTTTAATTCAATCATGTTAGGATGATTTTGAAAATAAAATATTGTAACTTTTTCTTCTTTTAATTGTATTATTCACCACTTTAAAAATATACATACAATTATATCATGATTAAAGTATATTTTTCTTTGAATTATATTTTAGGGGCACCAATGCAATGTCAGTTCTATTAAGCTTTTGTGAATTTAAATATTAGTAGATTAAAAAAATTAAATACTAAACCAAAATTTTATTTAAAAATTTGAATGTGTTGATATTATTGGCTAAGTTTGGTTCAAGTTGATTTAATTGATTTGAATCAATTTTAAATGCCATTATATAGCAGCAACATCAAGCAACTTGCGTACGGAGGAGTTCAAATGCGAGCATGTTGCAAGTGGATGTTCGAAATCCAGGAGCTCAAGAAGAATTGGATCTAGCTAAGCACCATCGCCATGCCAAAGATTAACCATCCCCAGGTTCGAATGCATGACGTCGCCATGTAATGTCTCCTAAATTCACCACGATTTAATTCAATTTTACCATGATAATTAAAGTTAACAATAATTAATAAAAAAAAACTAACTTTGCTAGAAAAGGAAAAGGCTTAGGTTTTTTTTAAAAAAAATAAAATTGGATATCATTCCTGAAAAAGAGTACAAGATTAAGGGTCCATTTGATTTTTCTCCATTTCACGTTCAGAAAGTAAAATTTTACTTTCAGAAAGTTGAAAGTTATTTGGGTAGAACATTTTATAGAAAAACACATTCTAAAAATACATTCAAACAGTAGCTGAAAGTAAATTTCTGAAACGTAACTATTTGAAACTTTTGAAAAGTGGATTTGAAAAGTAGGATGTTATTTGACCATGCTACCTTAAGTTTAATCTCTTATTCTTTTATTTAAAAATAGTTAATTCATTAAAAATATAATTATTATTTTAATAATAATAATTAGGTATTAATTTTTTTAGTATTATAAATTGAGTAATTAATCATGTTAATTTTTAGCATTAATGTATAATAAAAATTACAAATCTTTATTACATCTTTTAAAATTACAAATTAAAAAATACAAATAACTAGAGATAAAATTTTTAGCATTATAGACCACAATTTATGTTATTTAAAATCTTTATTTTATTTTTTAAATATTTTAAATATATTACATTTGTATAATAAAAATTATAAATCATTATAAATCAATGTCCTTTTTAGTAATTGTACATTCAAAAGCACATTTCACTATCACAAACCAAACAATTTTCAATGTATCAAACTAACTTTTGAAAAAATATATCCAAATATAAATTTTGTTACAACAACTGACTTTTATTAAACTAACTTTTACCAAATGAACTTTTGACAAACTAAAAACCAAACACACACTAAGTCGCTACAACAACGTGTTTTATATCATCATCCACCACTTTTATATAATACTGTGGGGATTGATCATAAAAGTAGAAAGGACATGTAACAGCTGAGGCCTTACTAGCAAGTAAATAAGCATAAGGGCCAATTTCTCTAATCAAGGGAAATAAAACTATTCATAAACAACAAAAATCTAGCATGATCAATGATGTCTTTGTATGTGTGTTGATCAAGTTCTAGTCTCATAATAAGATATATCACTTTAGTATAGTACATATATGCCTTCACTCTAAAGTAACCCAGAGATCTACAAAGCTCTAGTCCTTGGATAAGAATTACAACCTTTGTGATAGCTAAGGGAAAACTGCATAATATGGAATTATATCCTGCAATTTAGTTTGCATTACTGTCTCTAATAATATTACCACATCTTGAGATTCTATTCTTATAAGACCCATTCACATCCATCCAAACTTCCATTTCCTTAGGCCGAATGATTTAATGATCCCTACCATGGTAGAATAGAAACAAACATAGTTAAGAAGCTGTCCTATAATAGAAAAAATAAAACTATCATGATAGAAAAGTTTGCAAGTAGGTTTATTAAATGTAAAACCTTGGAAAATTATGACCCTAATTTATTTACATTCATTTTAAAATCAACCAAGACAAGAAATATACAAATATCAAAGTTTGAAAGAATGGAAAACAAATAGGATTTGAAAACAAATCAAAATGAGACCTAAAAGGCAAATTTTCTTGAAAAACAATATGTCAGTTGTAGCCAATAGAGCATAAGTCAT